TACTTCATATCAATTTTCAAAAATAAATAAATAACTAAAAATAAAAATCATTTTAAAAATCCCAAATCATTAGTCAAGCAAAGAGGGTTTATACACCGAGGTTGGTGACAGAATTGTCCCACTGAGGTAGATTTATCATTTTGCATGACGCTACAGTCAGTCTGCAACAGGTGCAAGGAAAACAGTCAGACCTAAGCTGTGATGGCCGGTCAAAAAAACAAAAAAATAAAAACAACAACACAAAACCCTCTGTAGTAAACACACTCATATATGTAGTGACATTTTACCACTAACAGAGGGTAATGTAGCGCCACAATGTCCATATGTCTGTTTCCACAAGGTTTTGGGTGGTGAAGGTAGTAGATCATATTTTCTCTAAAAAGAGACACTTAATTCTCACAGCATACATAACTGCAAGACCACTTGACCGTACCGACAACCGCTGCGTTAACAATTCAGCTCTTTAATTCATAGATGCACCCAATACTGCCACTCTGTGGATAAAAGATGCAATTCAATTTGATTCCTCTTCAGGTTAAGATATTTTCTCTAGGCAGATTGTATTGGGTGCATCTATGAATTAAAGAGCTGAATTGTTAACGCAGCGGTTGTCGGTACGGTCAAGTGGTCTTGCAGTTATGTAGAGCTGTGAGAATTAAGTGTCTCTTTCATTATATATTTTAGTGCATGCTTTACAGTTGCTCGGTGTTATTATACTTATTTGTTAACATTTTTGTTTTAGTGCTCATTCAAATGCAGACATTGATTTGGAAATCTGTCATCTTTCCTTATGTTCCACATACAGGGTCTGAGCCAATCATTTGGGCTGTAAATGGCATGAGACTAATCATTCTGGAGGCACAGACAAGTAACGTAATTCTCGGATTGTTAGATAGCAACATGCAGGCCCGGATTGGCTAATCAGGAGCACCGGGAGGATTCCCGGTGGGCCGGTCTGTTTTTTGGCCGCGAGGGCCGGTGTTGTCATGCCACTGGGTTGAACTGTTCCTAGGCTGCCTGCACTCATAGCAGCCTCACTCTTTTTATTTATTTTCACGCAGGCCATATTATTATTTTCACCAGATCACATCAGTAACAAATTCTCAATTGATAACTAAAATAGATAACTAATCATTCTTTTTGCGCAAATCGTTGTTTTATTTGTGAACATAGGCGTTTGAGGAAGGCTTTAAGACCAAGCGGAATTCTCTGCCGGCTGCTCCCGCTTCACAGCTAACTGCACCCTTTACCGTCCGCTTTTTTTATTTTACAAAATCAGTTTGGGCGAATGCAAACAACTTGTTGATCATGAGCCCAACATCCAGCACGGCAGCAAAACATTTAATCTACCTGAGGGAAGACGTCTTTCATTGTAAGCTAATGCTGTTAAATAGAGAGGGAAAAAATAAAATAAAATAAAATAAATAGCCTACTTCTTGCGTAGGCTATTCTTAAACTTGGACCTCATTACTGAAGTAAAAATCCAAGCACCAGAAGTGGCCCACACTCTCTTAAGTTTTCTTTAATTGAAAAATATGCGTTTTCATTCATTCAAAGGCTATAGTTGCAATAATATTTTAGATCAAAACTTTAAGTGCCATTGTTTAAAAAAAAATGCTTGATTGACTGACATTTCATTGACCTTCAGTTGTTAGATTTTCAAATGTCATGCCATTTGTAATGTCACAGTATTTTCACCTCCTCAATTACACGTGTGAAGTCACAATTCAGGCCGATTACATTTTTTATATGACATTTAAATTTATTTTTCGAATAACTGTACATAAATAGGTTAAGCAAAACAGTTGTGATTTTTTTCTGAGAACTTTTGAACTGCAGGCAGACTTAGGCCTACATTATGGTACAGTACAAATATTTGGAACGTCCCTTATTCTGTCCCTTATTTTCTTAAAGAATAAACACCTTATTTTCTACAAGAATAAACACTATTGTCCCAATTGTCCTTTATTTTCCATTTCTTATGTTAATTGGCAATGATGACGTAATTATCTTGACTCCCCTGACAGCAGAACCTTGCTCAAAAAAAGAAGAAGTAATTGTTGGAGATAGGCGAGCAAAAAATAATAGATAAAAAATGTATAATAGAAAGCCCAAATGCGGCACTGAAAGGCCAGTAAAAACAAAACAAAAACAACAACAAAGTGGGCTGGTCTGGCATGAAACTCCAGGGCTGAAAATGAGTCCCACTCCGGCCCTGGCAACATGGGAACACACATAGTCTCAAGCCTTTTAATATGTGCATTTCACATTTTTAACAGCCCTTTTAGAATCAGGAACTGCAAACATTTACTTCACTATATATGCACTTATGCACCTAATGTGAGCTTTCATTTTCAGTGACAAATGAACCAGAAGCTGTATAAGCCACTATTTTTTACTAAAGATTTCACTCTTACAACAAACGGTTAAAAAAATTAGAAAAAAATAAAATAAAATAATGCAGCACATTACTGTTTATCAGTGTTTATTGTTGCATACTCATACTGTGTAGTTTCACATTGTATTTTAAAAAGAGTAGGCGGTATATAATACTGCATAGTAAGCAGTACTTTATTCTATTCTGAACATAGCCATTTTCTTGCGAAGATGAACATATTGATATACATTTCAGCTCTCTAGTGTAAAGGCACCCAAAGCAAGCACATGCAGTCTCACTCTAGTTTCTTTCATTTTAGCAGTGCAGAATCTGATCTGACAGCACATGTTCTGGCCTGCCTTTGCTTATGTCCTCCAGTAGGTGTCAGACCTGATTTGGAAATCCTTAAAACAATTCAGAAGAGTTTGACCTTTGCTCTGGTTTCTGACTTGCTGTGATCCAGGATCTTTGGTTTTTAAGCAGCTTTTTCTATAATCCTGAACCAGTTCTATATGCTTATTTCTCACTTTTATCACAATCTTGTGTTTCTGTTAAAACAACAGGGTATAGCAGATTTTACAGGTGTTGGACACAGAACTGCCATTAAAACATTTGGGGTCAGTCATTTTTTTTTTTTTTAAAGCAAGAATTTAATACTTTTTTATTAATCCAGGAGACATGAAACAGATAAAAATTTTGGAAGCCACTTTTTACCACGGAGTAAAAAAATTAAAAAGTAATTTCAACTTTGTCACAATTCTGACTTTTTTCAGATTTCACAAACGAAAAAAGTCAGAAATGCAAGATAAAACTCTGCTTTACCTTATCATAATTCTGAGTTTATATCTCGCAATTCTGATTTTTTTCTCTCAGAATTCTGAGTTTATATCTTGCATCCCTGTTTTGTTTTCGGCCACGGAATTAAAAATAAAAAAGGTAATTGCAACTTTTAATCTCACAATTCTGATTTTTGTTCTTGCAAATGTAAATTTATATCTCACAATTCAGACTTTTTTCCTTAGAATTTCTCTCGCAGTTCTGAGAAAAAAGTCTGAATTGTGAGATGTAAACTCAGAACTGGGAGAAAAAAAAAAGAATTGTGAGATAAAAAAAAATTGCAATTACCTTTTTTATCCCATGGTGGAAACAAGCTTCCAAAGTAAAGACATTTACATTGTTACAAAAGATTTATGTTTCAAATAAATGCTGTTCTTGTTAACTTTATATTCATCAAAGAATCCTGAAAACAAACTATCACCGTTTCCACAAAAATATCAAGCAGCACAACAGTTTGACTTTGATAATAATAAGAAATGTTTCTTGAGCAGCAAATCAGCATATTAAAATGATTTCTGAAGGATCACGTTGTCACGATACTGCGGAGCAAGGAGACGCAGGAGTAAACTCAAAGTAAACAGTCTTTAATTAACAACCAAAGGGAAAACAAACTGAAACAGTGCATGACGTAAGACATGAACAACGAAACCAGAAACAGAACACTTTAAATACACAACTGAACGAGGGGATAACGAGGCACACCTGAGACAAATGAAACCGGAACGGGAAGAACCAAATACGGGCATGAACCCAGGTCTGACATTACCTCCCCCTCCCACGCGCCTCATAACTTCCAACAGGGAGGGGGGGGTGGGCGCTCTGGAGGCCTCTAGGGACAGGCTTACACAGGATGGACAGCCTCCAGGGTGGTACCCGTTCCAGGACCCATGTCAGATCAAGCAGTTCAGGGAGCCATGGCGGAGCAGGGAACTCAGGGGGCCATGGCAGAGCAGGCAGACTAGGGAGCCATGGCGGAGCAGGCAGCTCGGGGGGCCATAGCGGAGCAGACAGTTGCCATGGTGGAGCAGACAGTTCAGGGGGCCATGGCGGAGCAGACAGTTCAGGGAGCCCCCTGAACTGTCTACTCCACCATGGGCTCCTGAATTGGAGCCAACAGTCCTTTTCTCTGCATTCTCCTCTTTTGAGCAGAGGTGAAGGAGACAGCTGCTGTCAGCTGAGGGCTTGGGAGTGAACTGGCCAGTGGGCTTGACAATGGAACGGCTGGCGGGCTTGAGAGTGCAGCGGCTGGTGACCTTGACTTCCGAGCGGCCGGCTGGGCTGGTTCTGAATCGGGGCCGGACACTCTCCAGACACTGGAGGATCCCTTCCCTCCAGCTCAGTCCAGTGGTGTCTGGGAGGTTGACGGGGCGATGGTAGTTGGCCCCGATCCAGAACAGAGAATTTAGCGTTGCATCATCTAATGCCATCATAACGGCGATGACAAATGAAACACACTAGGAGCAGGAACAGGAAGAAACAAATATAGGCACAATGAGACACGAGGGAGAAACTAGGGCATGGAGAGCTAAACAACAACAAAACATGAACCCAGGTCTGACACACGTGACACTGAAGACTGGAGTAATGACAAACTCAGCTTTACCATCACAGGAAGAAATTACATTTTAAAATGTATTAAAATAGACAACACTTATTTTAAATTGTAATATTATTTTACACTATTATTGTTTTACTATATTTTTGATCGAATAAATGCAGCCTTGGTGAGCATAAGAGACTTCTTTAAAAAACATTAAAAAACGACCCCAAACTTTTGAATGGTAGTGTAATTATACCTGACTTCAGTACAGACATAATAATAATAAAGTATTTTAAGCAATACAGAGAATGCATTAGAATCTCCTCAGGCTGTATGGGAGTCTAAGCATTTGACTGAAGATGCTGAAGGTGTAGCTCTGACACGTGTGATCCAGTGATCAAGTGCCACTGCCTCATAACAGCCGTATCTTAATGACATCACTGTCGTTGTCACAGTGGCGACAGGTAATTTGTCAAATCTCAGCCTGATAAGCCATTTTCACATCATGTGTAAAAAACTTTCAGCACATGCCTTACAAAGACTCCGACACTGATTAGCATCTGTATGAGACCGCTAAACATCTGCTCTGTGGTCAAGATGACTTTTGGGAAAAGACGGTACTCGTGGTCCCTGGTGCACCCTATGACCCCGGCAAGGGCAGAGAAGAGATCTGCGAAGCTCTTGGCGAGCATCGTTGCAAAGAAAGATGTAGAAAAGAGGGTCTAGAAGGGTGTTGAGACTGGTGAGCCCATAGCAGATTCGATAGTAAAGGTAAAGAGAAACTTCCACCAAACACTGGTCTTTTTCACTTTCCGTGAGAAGCAGGGTAAAAAATCTGTAGCCGACCACCAGATGATAGGGACCAAAAATGACAATGAAGATGACAGTGATGACAACCAGGGTTGCGACAATCCTGCGGCGTTCGTGATCTGTGACAGATGGGGAGTTCCTCAGAGTCAGCCCGATTCGGCCAGAGGTGTACCTGAATGTGAATAAGAGGAACGAAAGGCCAAAAGGTTATGAATGATATAGTTATGATTGTGTTTACAGTAACATTCCTTTAAAGAAACAGACGTTGTATCTGTGTTTGTCATCTGTGCAATGGCATTTTGATGGCATGCTAATTCATTCCTAGGCCTGTGTGCTGAGACAACATGTTTCAAACGTGCCTATAAATACGGGTTGGTAAAAGCCTTTTGTAAGGTAAACAGTGCAGGATTCAATGACAAACAAGAGAGTCTGCAATAATAAATATTTTAAAAATCTAGTTTAAATCACACGTGCCAAGTTCTTAGAAATGTACTCACACTCTTAGTATTCATGTTGGTTTCATAGGGTTTTAAAAACCTTTTATACCTTTTATATTTAAGAAAAAATAAAACCACATATACAAATATATAACAAATACATAAGTAAAAAGTAAAAGCATATTCTTGACCCCCTGAATTCATAACATGTTAATTTCTTATTTTCAAAGGAAAAGCAAGGCAAATTTATTTATATAGTTCATTTCATACACAATGGTAAAAGGTTCAAAGTGTTTTATACAAAAAACATTAAAGATAATCATAAAATAGTCATAACAGGTGATTAAGAAATAAAATTAACAATGGAAAAGTAAAAAAAAAAGATTCTCATAAAAAATGTCAAAGGTGAAATTTTTTTTCTAGAAATATCATGAATTATTCATATATATACATCACTGCATTTTTAAGTAATCATGCCACATGATATTTTACAACCTGAACTAACTCTATCTTGTCATAAAATGGTTAAATTATCTTATTTTAAAAGATGTATTGGTCTTGACACACAGGGTCAGCAGAGGCCCTCTCAGTGATATCATTTTTCCATTTTCCCCTGCATATTGGTTGCGCCACACTGATTTGGCTGATCATTAATTTAATTTTTTAAATATTAATATTATTAATACATTTTTAAGAAATAATAAAAAAGAAACTATGTGATCTAGGGAATTTCATTCCTTTAATGGTGATATATTTTTTGCATTATGACATGAGTACAGTTTTATCACCCTGACATTGACCTTATGAACCCCCTAAAAGCCTAAATTAATTTTATTCAGAAATTAAAAACTTGCTCATAAATGATTAGATTTGGACTAAAAACAACATTATTTTATTGACCCAGGTACAGTCACATAATGAAAATGCATTTCACTTACCCTAGTATAGAGCAGGGCATCAGAAACCCTAAAGCAACTGTGGCGATTTTAAAGTAAGCATATCTGGTGCTCACAGGGTACTGCTCCAGACACAGCTCTCTCTGGGGCTCGAACACAGATGGGTAGAGGCCAGTCAGGCAGAACAGAAATATCAAAGTCCACACTACCATACCAGAAAATGCTGCCACTTGCACTTTCCGTACACCACGGCTGCTGAGAGGGTACACGATTGCTAGACAGCGATCCAGGGCGATGAGGCAAAGAAAAATGACACTGGCATAGAGGTTAACGTAAAAAACGTAGCCCACTAGCTGGCAGGTCACAGACCCGTAAGGCCAGTGGTGGTCTCCCTGCAGATATAGGATCCACAGTGGCAAGGTGAGTAGCTGGAGAAGATCTGAAAGCAGTAAGTTTAGGATATAGACCAGCTGGCAGCTGCCTCCACCAGACCGACCTAGCTGGTACAGTCCCCAGAGGGAGAGCAGGTTAGCTGGGAGTCCAATAGAGAAGGCAAGGCTGTAGATGTAGGTCAGACCTACTCTGTCATTTGCCAGAGGGATTTGACAGCTACCATTGGTCAGGTCTGTGGAAAATTAGAAAATCTTTTTTTTAAAAGAATTTTAAGAGTATACATTTTTTTTTCTTTATAACATTTATGTTATCAATGTTAAAAACAGTTGTTCTGCATAATCATTTTGGGAAACTGTGGTACTTTTTCCCCCAGAATTCTTTTTTTGAACTTTCTATTCATCAAAGAATTCTTGGGAAAAAAGTACCACAGTTTCCCAAAATGATTAAGCAGAACAACTGTTTTTAACATTGATAACATAAATATTATAAAGAAAAAAGAAATGTTATAAAGAAAGATGAGAAATGTTTCTTGAGCACTAAATCAGCATATTAAAATGATTTCTGAAGGATCATGTGACACTGAATTCTGGAGTAATGGCTGCTGAAAATTCAGCTTTGCCATCACATAAATAAATTACACACTAAAATATCTAAACATATAAAACAGGTATTTTAAATTGTTATAATATTTAATATATAAGTTATATTAATTTGAGTTTTTACTATATTTTTATTAAAATAAATGCAATAAAAGATGTTTTATTTAAAAAAAAAATCTTACAACACCAGTCTTTTGAACAGCAGTGTATACTTTTGAATGTTGTAATGTTTAAATTAACTTTAAATGATTGATTTTAGTGTTTAATTTTTTATATTTTTAATTCATTCAGACAAAACAGTACAACATTTTAATATAAACCATAACATGAAAAACTATTTTAATATTGTACATCTTTAGTTGTTTTAAATATATGATGCAGAGGAATAGTAACTTACTCAGAAGCATGGTTTTATGGTTATGACTTGTCCATGACATTTGAATCTTCAAAATTTTCATTACAGATGTTGAAACAGACCAGTTCTCAGATTCTCCAGTCACCTCTTACAATGGTTAAGCAACCTGAGCAGAACACAGAAATGTCACACAATACTGTTCCACTATAAAATTGATGTCTGTCATTAGACACAACAATGAACAGACAACAAATGGTTTGTTCTAGAACCTAGGTTTATATTCATAAAAAATATAAATATTCCCACCTCTGTCTGGTCTGGAGAGCGTCATCTGCATGTCCAGCTCCACTACATGTGCATAAACCTGTGCATGCATTAGAGTGGAAAGTTCTGCCGTGTCCAACCATGGGTTTGTCTGGCTTTTTGATCATTTCCCCCAGCAGGAAACCACTTCTACTGCTTTTGAGCAGCAACATCCTGAAGCCTTTCTCCTTCAGAACAAAAACACCCTCCTGCCGGCTGGCTATTATGAGGCAAAGATATGAGAGAGTCCAGGCTGTTCTTTCAGACGGAAGGGTCACTGAGAGACAAGCTGTAACACCCTTATAGTCGTTTCCATGTTCCCTGTGAGACCCCTCTACCCCGCGCCCCTTTGCTCTGGCTTACTGGCCTGCTCTGGAACACTGTTTTGAATGGTGTATCTAAACAATGTAAAAGCAAAGTTCCATAACAATAGAAGTTTTAAATGCCATTGAACATTTATGAACAAAGTAATCCTACGGAAATTTTGGTTTTGTGATGCACACCTTGTATGCTTAAATTAAATGTATTAAAATATTATATTAATATATTAATTATATAAAATATAATTATATGATTAAAATATATACATTTTTAAACATGCTTGTTTGTGAAGTGTGCTAGGAATGCTGCTGATTCCAAACAATGGAGACTTTTATTCTACAGATGTGAACATGTGGTAAATGAATGAAATCAGGAAAGAATTCATGACCTGAGATAAGAAAGACCAGGAAGTGGATTAGAACTGAAACAAGCAAAGAAGTTGCCAATTGAACCTTTAATGATGATTTAAAACACATTCACACTGGGAGAGGCTGACATGGAAATACATGTTGTTTGATTCTTTACAGGCACTAGATTATGTTGATTAAAGAACATATTAAATGTTGAGGATTTGGTGAATACACCACAAAAAGAACAGCATAAAGTTTGTAAGAATTTGATGCACAAAAAAGTACAAAGATGGCTACAGTTAATTATTCAATTTATATTAGTTTGAGTAGTCATAACCAAAACTGTAAAATATAAAGATAATCCTAAAGTATTGTTTAACGATATTCTGGCATTGCATTTACAAGTTACTCGTGGCCAGATCAGGATTTTGTGTCTTGTTTTTGCAAACACTGGTTCTTATAGTAACAAACAAACTCAGGTTCACCATGCATGAGACTTCCCATTTACATGCTACATTTACGCATTGGCAGACACTTTTATACAAAGCAAATGACATTGCATTCAAAGGTATCCATTTGATCGGTGCATGCTTTCACTGGGAATCAAACCCATGACCTTGATGTTGCTAGCACTATGCTACAGGAATGACTTTAGCAGTACATGTTTTGGAACAGAGTTGGACAGGCAAAAAAACAACAACAACAAAAAAAAAACCTGATATTTGTCTGCTGCATTTAATTCAGTGTTTCATCAGCTTTTCAAAAAGTACATATCAAATGTTCATTCCACCTTCCTCTTTTTGATTGACTTCCTGCAACACAAAAGCTTGCAGACATATGCTAAAGTCAAAAGAGCAATCACAGTGAACGTCAGTAGAAAGGCCAACACATCTATGTTGTGGTAAGAGTACCAAGGCAAGTTATTTCCCTCTGAGTGAAGGTGAGCTGCTCCTTTGTGTCTAATAACGTACTCAATCCAAAAAAAGTGGCGCTATCGAGAGGAGACAAGGGCCGATCGTGATGCAGCTCTGACAGTTTGCGGATGCTGCTCCGGTACAGTGGGTTCTCAAGGACGTCTTTGAGGGCTTCGAGGAATTCTTGCGAGGTGAGAGTTGCAACTTTAAGCACTCGAGCCGCACCTCGAACCTGCAGTTGCAGAACATTGTCAAACTGGTCAAAGAGGAGTGGCAAAGCTAAGACGGGGACTCCATGGTAAATAGCTTCATAGATACCATTGGTTCCCCCGTGAGATACAAACACACAAGTTTTTGGATGGCCCAGGAGATCATTCTGTGGAAACCACTCTAGAAGTAAAGTGTTCTTTCCCAGGGTAGAAGGTCGTTCCCCGTGGTACCTCCACAAGACTTTCTGAGGGATCTCAGCAAAGGCTGTAGCAATGGCCTCTGTGATTGCTGTAGGAAGAGCACTGACTACTGCTCCCAAGGACATGATGACTACTCCATGCTTCCCAGAGCTCTGCATAAACTCTTCCAGCTCCGTAGGAAGTGCTTGAGCCGGCTGACATTGAAAGCCACCCATGTAGACCACGTTAAGCATGGTGGGCCATGGAAACTCAAAAACAAAGTCCATTCTCATCAACCAAATGTCAGCAGATTGTTGCATTGTCAGAAGATTAGTACCGGGTGGGAAGTGACGCTCAAGCAGCTCTCTGTAAACGGGCACGATGATGTATCGCTCCTGAAGGAGGCTGAACAGATACCGTAGAAAATTTTCCATCCGCTGTAGGAAGTTCATTTAGTCATGGAGCAATGAATTGTATATTGGGACGTGGGATGGAGATGAGGGTGCAATTTGCATGTGAGCATCCCCTGCATTTATCCAACGTACATTGTAAACCATGGGAAGGTTGAGGAATTGGCTAACAGGACACTAGCTGGGAACGCAGGATCTGTTAGCAGCAGGTCAAACTTAGCTTCTCGCAAGCGTTCGACAAGCGCTGCATCGTCAAAAATGGCAGAAACCATTCGGAGCGCTCCGTTGTGAAATACCTTTAGTATGTTGGCGATATCTTTCTGCTGTTCCAAGAAACGAAAAAAAGACGACATCCTTTGTAGTGCCAGCGACCTCTCTATCAACATCTTGAAGTAGTCAGGGCCAACATCTTCAGTCTCCACTGAGTTGACCGTGATGGTGCTGTAGAGGGAAGAATTCTCTTTGATATACCAACTTTTAGACGAACGCACCACAGTAAGGCTATGACTGTAGCTGTGGAGTTTTCTCAAAATGACTTTCATGTTCAGCCAGTGGCTGCCGTCCTCAGGCCACACCAGGATATTTCCACCATGACAGCAGCAGGTCACAAAGAGTAGACAAGTCAGAGAAGATAATTGTTTGGACCTCATACTCATCCTTCAGAAAGCTGAAAAAACACAAAGAGAGAAGAGAAAGTACAAGATGTTTACAATATTGCAGCCAGAGCATT